CTTGCATAAATCCTCTTTGAAGAAAGTGAGATTCAACAAATAAATTAAATCTTGATTAGTTTGCTATTTTTTGTGTGTGTGATAGCCACACCAGAACTGGCCAGCAAAGTGTGTCAGGACCCATGCCCAGCTGTAACTGCCTGTACCCTTACATGGCTAGCCATGGATTACTGTTGGCAGCTTCTCTCCCTTTTATCCTTTCTCTGTCCTCTTCATGACACACATTATTACCCCCATGCATAGGTGACATGTGTGTGTCTAACAGTATGTCTCTTCTTGCATACCTTTGTGTGGAAACCCTACAAACACCCTTCAGCATTGTTTGCCTGAGATGTGCAGATACACACATGAGTATAAGTGTGTGTGTGTGTGGGGGGGGTGGGGTAGGGTGACAGTACTAGACAATTTCTGTTGTAGCTGACAACTCAGAGCTGTGTGACAGATGCTGCTCAGCAGCTCCTGTATTGGTGTCCGGCAAGGGTTAGAGACGTGGACTTCAAAGCTGCCGATTAGTGGTAGACTAGAGGTGGAGCTGATGGTGGAAATCAGAAAATGATGGTTTAGATCAGGAGCAGATTGCAAGGAAGGTAAAACGTGGGATTACTAAGGCCTTGTTTTTCCACCCCCTAAGATATAAGCCTGCTTCATTTGCCTCTTTCTCTGAGTGTGCTTGGGTCAGATTTTCAATTCTTTGAGGATGATCCCACTTCATGTCCCTTCTTTTTCTCTCCCTCCCTCTGTTGGGTGTGATGAAATAACAGAAAAGTATAGGTGTCAGAGGAAAAAAATCAATTACAAAGTGTGTAATTCTGAAATTTAAATAAGGTGGGGTCTTAATTAAGGCAGATTAGTTAAGTGCAAAAATAATTATACACAGAATGGTTCGGTCTCAGCTACTATTTTGGTGGGCAAGTCTGAAAATAAGTAACTTCTTGGGCCAGTCGAGTGGCTCAGTTGGTTAAGAGTTAGCTTACGAGTGCGAGCTCTGAGCAACAGGGCCGCCAGTTCGATTCCCACACCGGCCAGTGACGCTACGCCTGCGCTGAGCTGCCTCTGAGCTGCCAACAGGTGGCAGGATGGCTCAGCTGGTGAGAGCACGTGCTCCTAACAAGATGCCTGTTCGATGGTGGGCTATGCCCGCCCGCAACTAAGACTGAATTCTGAACCTTGAGCTGCGCTGCTGCCCGGATGGCTCAGTGGCTAGAGCATGAGCTCTTAACAGCAAGGCTGCTGGATTCGACTCCTGCATGGTACCACATGGGATGGTGGCTACGCCCACCCGCAATTAAGACTGAACTCGGCACCTTGAGCTGAGCTGCCGCCCGGATGGCCCGGTGGATAGAGCGTGCGCTTTTAACAATAAGGCTGCTGGTTCAACTCCCACATGGGATGGTGGCTATGCCCACCCACAACTAAGATTGTAACACAGCACCTTGAGCTTAGAGGCCATGAGCTGCCGACGGGCAGCCTGATGGTGACTGGCACCCTCACAACTCAGATTGAAGAACAACAACTTGGCTGATCCCCTTCCCTAATTCTCCAACACTGTTCCCCTCCCCCAATTCCCCAATTTAAAAAAAAGAAAGAAAATAAGTAACTTCTCATAATTACCTAAATCATTACCCATTGCCAAGGCTTTTGAAAATATAAAGGTCTATATAAAGAAAAAATAATCATCATAGGGCAAAATAACTTCAAAAATATGAAACTGTTTACTGGAAAAAGAACGGAAAACCAGATTCCTTTTTTTCACACACAGCTTTTCAGTAAAGTTATCAAAATCTCTGCTAATTCTTATCAGACTATTGGGAAAGGAAAACAAGGAGAGAGAGAGAAAAGTAGAGAGGTATTATGGCTTCTCTGCTTGATAGGTGAAAGAGAGGTTCAGAGAATGGAGGGTTTGCCTAAGTCATGGAAATGGTAGAGAGTAGACCCAGTGAATTCATTAGACCACAGGCCTCTGCACAAAGAGTTTCACTAACTAAAAAATATTTTATCCCCATAGGTGGGAAATCAACAGGACTGCTGGTCAGACTTTCCTCAAGAGGGCAGATACAGTTCTTTCAAGATCCAAGCTGTTCTGGAGAGGCTGACCAACTCCTATTGTAGATGGCAGTGACTTCTCTGCCGCCACTACAGTTCAGCTCTGAGAGAGACAGTTCTTGTGTTTTTGATCCTCCAGTGGTTTGGTAGAGAGTAAAATTCCAAGAATTCTTAAAATCAGTTTGTACTTTTCTAAAAAGTCTGAAGTAATGTCTTTCCCAACATATGTGCTAGAGACTAGGGTATGAATGTAAAGACCTTTACCTCATGGTCTTCTCAAAGATTGGCTGCTCAGGTGCCCTTGGAATCTGTAAAATTTTTGTTATTATCACAAATATTTCTCATCAGTTGAATTTTTTCTTCCTGGACTGCACAAGTTTTTCCAGATTAGTTTCTGTTATTTGGTTCCCCCACCCTAGGGACATCACCTCTGCAGAGTAGGGCTCTTATGTCAGCTGGTATCTTATATAAAACTTAGATTACATTTTCCAAACACTGGTCATTTTCCTCATGGCAGAGGCTATCTTGTGTTTGTCTTTGTATCCACAGAGAGGGCCTGATACAATACATGACACAAAATAGAAACTCAGGGGTGACCATATTCCGTGTAATTGAAAGTCTAATGCAAATTTTACCTCCAATAAGAAACTGTAGCCCACCTAAAACCAAAGTCTGATTCTAATTGGTATTGTATCTGACTGACGTATGATTCTGATTCACTTTCTAAAAATGAGAAAATAACTATTAAGTGAGTATAGTTTGTAGATTACATATTTCCAAACATAGGGTCCATGCAGAAATATAAGTAAAGGGGATTCTTGGTGAAAATATAGGGGACCACTTTATTGAGGCCTTTTGCAAGAGGAGAGATTCCTGCACTTTGAGCCACGCTATGGTTTGGATTTGCCATGGGGGCCAGAGCAGAGTGCTAGAAGGAAAGGGATGCCTTTCAGTCCTCAGCTCTGGCCTCTTTCCTTGCTCCTTAAATCCTATGAAGTATTTATGCTATCTTGGGTATTCTCCTTTATGTATACTTTGGAAGAAGGGTACTCAACCTAACAAGTAGCTTTCCAGTCTTTCTTTGTGGAGCATCTGCAAGACCTAATTATAGCTCTTCTATTAACTAGCTATTTGACCTTAATCTCATGAGGCTTCAGTTATTTCATCTGTAAAACAAGAGAGTTATTTATTCCTTTATTCAAACATCTATTGAGCCCTTATTATGTTTTACAGACTGTCAAGACACTGGAATGACAAAGTTGAACCTGACATAGGACACACTATCTGTGGGCTCACTATTCAATAAGGGAGTAAGATGGTTTGTTACAATTCATTGAGAAAAGTAATTTGTTCAGAAGGTTGTGGTAACAGGATTGGTACCTAGCCTAGACTAGGAGTGGCTAGAGAACACTTCTCAGAAACTGAGCTGGAAGCAGGAGGAAAAGTTAGGCGGGTGGGTGGAAGTAACTAGAGGCATTGCCAGCTTCTGGTTAAAGGTTTTTTGGGGCTCTAATGCTATCCTAAATTTCCACCCATTAGTCCTAGTTTTTTCTCTGAAGACACATAGAATAACTGATCTTTGTTATTGATACCAACCTTTTAATATATTTGAAGATACTGACCATTGTCACTCTTAAATATTCTCTTTTCCTGGCCAAAAATGTCCCAGTTCTCTGTTCTTTATAGAGGATAATAATACTTATATTTGTAGAATACACTATGCTCTTTGTAACGCAGTTTACACACAATGCATGGAGCTTACCTCATTTGACGCCCCTGCCTCTGTGAGGGCTGGAGGAATTATTGTCCTTGCTTTACTGACAAGGAAACTAAGGCTGCTGGTGGTGAAGTAGCTACACAGTCACTCAGCTAGGGAAACCAGAATGCAAACCTGCTTTCCTGGTATCAAGTTCTCTCTACTAGAACATCCTTCTGTGTCTGATTTCAAGACCTGTTTATCCTTGTCTGCACACTTTTTACTTTGTTAAGCCCTTTCACTCTACCCTGAAATGTCCTTATGACTAGATGTTATTCATGGTTCTATGTTGCCCAACTGTGCATAGCATGCACAGACTCAGGATGCTCACTCTAGTTCTGATAGAACTCATTTCTGAGTCTGGAATGCCCTTGTTTTCTTTAGTGGGCCATCGCTGTGTTGGCACATGCCAAGCTATGGCTTACTATTTCATAAGGTAGTTGTAAAGATTAAAATTCAGATAATGCTTGCAAAGCATTTAGCATATGGTACCAGTAATGTTAGCTCTTATTTTTATTATAAACATCACTAAAAATTTCCATGAACTACCATCAAGCCAGGTCACAGTATACAACAGGGGCAGAGCAGGAAATAATTCCTGAAATTTCCTCTTTCCTGTATCACTAAATGTTAGTCTTGGAAAAGAAAATTCAGAGATTATTTCATTCACTTCCTTCATTTTTCGGATGGGGAGACTGAGAGACGCAGCGGTTTTAAGCAAATTTCTGGAAGACAAATAGCAAGTTAGTAGTATTCATGTAATTAAGTTGTAATTAAGTTGTGAAACTGTCAAATATGGCTTTATTCCTATTCTTAGTGAATGGGAGTAAGAGAGGAAGAAGAAGATGCCCTTCAATTTTTTTTGTCCATTTGTTTATTTTATAACAAACAAAGATGCCCTTTAATTTATTGGGGTTTTTTGTTTGTTTGTTTTGTAAATTAGGAGAGAGATTCAAGATTCTAAACAAATATGTCATTACCAACACTGAATGAGTTTCACCTGTGAACTCACATGGGTTTTTAAAGACTGTATTCAGGATTCCATATTGCTGAAATAAAAATTTGCTCTTAGTATAGTTTTGGAAAATTTGCAGCCTAGGATAGCAGCCTGGGGAACAATATCCACACAAGGTCCTTAAAAATAGGGACCTCTTCTTGGCTGCATTTGTGCCTCTAACACCTAGCACAGCTGTGGTGAAGAATGGGTATTCGGTCTACGTTTCTGAGTGAATAGATGCCCAGCAGACGCTGAGTCAGTTGATTCCTTCCTCTCTCCTGCCCATCTCCCTCTGTCTCCCCTTTGGCCCATCCACAAGGAGGGCTACACATTTTGGCTCTTTTGAAATAAGAATGGCATCTCAGAATCCCCTTGCAGCCCCTGGGTGTCAGGAGTGTCCCCCAAAGCCCCACTCCCACCCCAGGTTCTTTGTTGTAGAGATATGTCTTAACCCCATGCCTGCCTGTCCTCTGTGGCCTCTCATAATCGTCCGGCTTTCATGTTTGTGCAGGAGTGTCCCTGGGCGTCTTTGCGGCTGGGTCTGATGAGCCTGGCCCAGAGGGCCTCACCTCCACCTCCTTGCTGGACCTCCTGCTGCCCACTGGCCTGGAGCCACTGGACTCGGAGGAGCCCAGTGAGGCCGTGGGACTGGGCACTGGCCTGGAAGCCCCTGGCTCAGGCCTCCCCAGCGAAGAGAGTGAAGAGTCCCGCATTCTGCAGCCGCCACAGTACTTCTGGGAAGAGGAGGAGGAGCTGAATGACTCTAGTCTGGACCTGGGACCCACTGCAGGTAGCTCTTCTTACCTGAGAGTGTGTGTGGATTGCAGCTGGGTGTGAGGTAGTCTTGGCAAAATGCCAAAGGACAGTTTTCTTGCTCGAATCACATCTTTTCTCTCTTCCCATCAGTTTTTCCTGTGTATCAAAGCCAAGTCTCTGGGACTCCAAGTATCTTATTGGCCCAGGAGGCTCCTTTCTCTTTAACATTCACTGCTGTTAAGTGATCTTGTATTCTGTGCTCATAATATTATCCCCATTTTACACATGAGAAAACTGAGGCTTAGAAAGGTTAAAAGCATGCGGAAGGTCATACGACTGTTCAGATGTTCAGTCATGATTCAAGCTGATTGCCAAGGTCTGGAGTTTTGTTTGTTTGTTTGTTTTCCCCTACCTGCTGTATTGTCTCTGTTGAAAGTTCCTGGAGATCAGCACGTTCCATGTCCCCCCTTAGGTCTCTCTAGCCTCATCAAGGCATTCTAACTACTCTGCCCTCAGTCATGTACCAGATTGGGTTCTGGGTTTACAGAGCATGGCTGATGCACATGTGGGGCCTGGGCTCCACAGGAATGCACGCACCACGGCTGATTACAGATGCGATCGCGCTCTTGTGCTTCCAGCTACAGCAGCAGTGCACATGTCCTTGGCCAGCAGGAGCCCGTTCTTAAATGTCAGACTGTCAATTTGTGTGTGTATGGGAACCCGCACATGGGGGCAGGATGTTACAGAATTTAGCCCTAATTTTTCTTTTTAAAATATATAATATTTTGGATTCATGTTCTCTGATTACAAAAATAGTATGTGAAAATTGTAGAAAATATGAAAAATACAAAAACAATACAAATAGGAAAACAAAATCCTCCCACGGTCTCATAACTAAAAGATAATTACTACTAGTAGTTTGGAATATATTCTTCTAGTCATTTTTATATGCAAAATTAGAATCATAGGGGACATAATATCTTCAATTAAAATATTTCACAAATGTATTTCCACATTATTAAATACTCCTTTATAACCTGATTTTTAATGACTACATATTTTATCATATAGATAATCATATGTATGAAACCAGTTCACTATTGTTGAATATTTAGGTTGTCTTCATTTTAATGCTGCTACTAATATCCTCATATGTTTTTGTACTTTTCTGATTGTTTCCTTAGATAAATTTCTAAAATAAAATAGCAGGATCTAAAAGTGTGTCAGTTAGCATCCCACCCAGAAGCAGAAGACACAATCAAACTAAGATAGTCCAAAGAGGGTTTATTTATAGATCAGTGAATTTACAAAGGAATCTAGGGCCAGCAACAGCAGAGTAATCAGTGCCCTACACCCAAAGAGACAAAGGGAGGGAAGGATGAAAGGACAGAGTGGTGGGGAGCAGGTGGCCCGCTAGGGAAAGGAACCAGGAGAATAAATACCCAACCTCCCTCCTCCCGGCTCCTGTCAGGGTCCCTGTCAATCTCCCTTGCCCGCCTCTGGGAGTTAGGTTAGGAAGCAAGGCACAGCCTGTTGATGTAATCCACTGGGCCAGTCTTCCTTGGCCAGGGTAAGGTAGAGAAGGGTGGAGAATGGATCTGCAGCTGATGAAGCATGTGTGACACAAAGGATGTGTATCTTTCTACAGGCTTTTGTTAAATATTTCCAAATCACCCCCCAGAAAGGTGGGTCCAGTTTGCATACCCACCAGAAATAGATGAATGCCAGTTTTTTTAACCCTTCCCACTCCCGAATTTTGTCATTTAGAAATCTTTGTCAATTTGATAGGCAAAATTATAATGGCCTCTGATTACTAGTAAATTTTAATTTATGTATGTGTATATATTCACATACATATATGTATACATATTCTATATATTCTCTATATACAATATATACATAGTCTGTCTATTTATAGTTCTCCTGTTTGATTTGAAGCATAGTGTAATTGAGACAACAGGCTTTAGAGTCAGGCAGATTCTACAGTTTCAGCACTGCCATTGAATAGCTATGTGATTTTTGGCAAGTAACAACCTAAGCCTCAGTTTTCTCATATAGGAAATGAGGATAATAGTAGTATCATGAGGTTGAGATTTAAATGCAATAATACATTTAAAGCACTTAGCACAGTGCTTGGCACATTGTAAGTCCTCTGTAAATATTAGATATTATTTTTCATTTTTTTCTACTGAGGCTTTAATTTTTTATCATTGTACATGGTTTCATATAAAAAGGATACAAACCTTTTTTCTGACATATATAGAAAACATTTTTCTGGCTTGTCAATTACCTTTCTTTTTATTATATTACTTTTTTTATTATATTTTTGATATACATAAATTTAATCTTTAGAAGCTTAAAACAGTCTTTCTTTTGAAATGTTTTTATGTGTTTACATTGCCTTGTTTAGAAAAGCCTTTCCCTCCCTGAGATATATGCACCTTTATTTCTTCTATTCTTTTTTAGCTTAATTTTTTATATTTTACTCTATTCTAGCTGTGCTTTATTTTGGTGTGTGGTCTAAGATAGGTATCTAATTCATTTCCCCCGCATATAAGCTATTGTTGCAGCAGCATTCATTGACAAGTCTATCCTCTCATTATTGAAAAGAAATGCCACTTTTACCTTGTATTGGACAATTATATGTACTTGGTATTTCTCTGGGCTTTCCCTTTTTTGTTCAGACTATTGAGATTCTAGTTTAAGACAAGCAGTCACTCAGAGAGCCTGGTCAAGAAATCACCAGTTGTGCACCTAGACCTTCCTCAGGATCACAGTGGGAAAGCCCTGCTTTGATAAACTCAGATTTGCTCTGCACCCGTCCCCCATTTGTTTCCCCTCCTTTTTCTCTCACTTTATCTCTCTTATCCCATTGGCTTCTCTGGGTCTCATTATAATAAAAATACCTGTCATTCAATGAACACAAGCCATGTAATGGACACTTTGCATACATTCTTTCTCCTGCTCATACCAGCTCCACAATGCGGGTCTGTTTCCTTATTTCTACTGTACATACTTGAAAGACTGTGAGGTGGGGACACAGGTGCCCTCCAAGGGGAGTGGGCAAGAAATTCAGAGCAGGTGGAGGAAGGAGAGCTGCTTTTGTCCAGGCTCCCTCATTGCTTATCTTCTGATTGGGATGCTTGCCCACAGCAAGAGCTTTGCCCAAGGTCACACAGCGTGTGCATGGCAGAGCTGAGTCTAGAATCAGTGTCTCCTGAGCAGTGATGTCTATGGACCTGTGTTCTTGCCATGAGAGCACATTGATGGTATGTGTTAGAGAGGAAACCAGTACATTTTATTGTCAATAGTATTGTTACACATCTCATTTCTAGTTCGTTGGGCCTAGAAGAACTAGAGTTGGTGCCTGCCTTTTCCTTCTGTAGCAGTGGTCCTCAGGGAGTCCAACGGCAAAAACAGCTGGTGAAGTTTCTGTTTGATAATAAGTGGTATGACCTTGAGTGGGTTCCTTTTCTAATCTTGGCTTCAGTTTCTTCATCTGTAAGTGAAACCATGAGAATAATAGATTGAAGTCTATTTCCAGCTTTAAAATGTTATGATTCTCTGACATTTCAGGTAAAAAGAGTACTCTTACAAAGTAGGGAAGAAGAAATGGAATGTAAATTTACCAAACCACCAGCTAGCAGCAAGCCAGCTTAAAGCCTGATCAATTAATTGATGCAGAATTGTTAATGATTAAAAATATTTTCCCAGATTACCTATTCATCTCAAGATTGTCCCTATTGTCTCCCTCCACTGCTTTCATTTTCCAAACTCCTTAATAAAATTTTCTTCATGCAGTTTTAATTTTCCTAGTGAACAAGCTAATTGGTGTTTTACAAGAAAAGAGATAACTCTTTGGGGTTGGCAAGTTCTAGAAACCCAGCTTAAACAGGCTTATAGGTCTTTCCTAGCTCAGTAACTGCAGAGCTCGAGGCAGGTGGGGTCCAGGGGTTCAGCTGGCATCAGAACCTGCCTTGCTCCACTGTGCTTCACTTTTCCTTGTTGGCTTCATTCTTAGGCAGGCAGTTCCTGTGTGGTGGCTTCAGAAGCCCCCACTACGTTCAGTTTCATCCTCCTTTCACGGAGCAGCCCCTGCAGGAGAAAACTTTGCCTCTCCAACACTTCTGGAAAAGCCTCAGAGGGGAGGCTCATTGGTCTGGGTCATGAGCCCATCTAAGAACTAATCCAAAGGCCATGGGGATGGAGTGCTCTCACTAGCCCACAGTGGGTCTTGAGCCCCCCTGGAGCCACGGGGTACGGCCCCACACTCCTGGGACAAAAAGA